GACTTTCAGGCTGAAGTCCTGGCTATAAGTCGGTGTACAGAGATAAACCTCTACCGCAACTATCGCAACGAGCGCATAGCTATACTCAGCGATAGTCAAGCGGCACTGAAAGCGATCTCCTCCTACGAGATCAAATCGCTTTTGGTGCAGGAGTGCAGAGGACGATTAAACAACCTAGCTGCAAAGAACCAGGTACACCTAATCTGGGTGCCCGGGCACAGGGGCATAGCCGGCAACGAACTGGCTGACGAGCTAGCCCGCTCCGCAGCCTCCACCAGTATGGTTGGGACACGGTATGCGTCATGCCAAGCTGCTAGTTGGGGGGTATAACGAAAAGAGATTTAAATCGTTATTTAACCTCCCAAGAAAMAAACTCAGGATCCTGGTTGCATTCTATACCGGCCACTGCARGCTGAAAAGGCACTTAACTAACATGGGCCTATCATCTTGCGCCAACTGTCGGTTTTGYGACAGGGAYCCTGAAACCCCGGAGCACCTGCTAATCGACTGCATTGCAGTCTGTAGGCGCAGGTCGAAGGCCCTTGGAGCCATGTTTCCGGATAGGGATCACATCGCCTCGAGAGCACCCAACAAAATACTTTACTTCGTCAATATGCTGGGGCTAAGCGAGTCCCTGTGAGTTAGGAGAGGGCACAATAGACCTATGGTCGCATGCATTCCTCAGTTATGTATCTATCTATCTATTGACGGTTTTCAAATTACATGCATAAAAATGTGATTATTATTTATATAATTGTTCCAGRGTTTTATTACGACTTTTAATAAAATATAACAACATTACTATTCAATTTCCCCTCACCGACTTTAATTTCCGTAATCAGTATGACTTATACCTATTTATACCAAGACCCATCAAAATGACGGTTATAATAATTTATATGTGTATTATCTATGCAATGACGGACATCAATGCATATATATACATATACAGTTGCGAGCATTGAAATAGTAGTGGCTATTGACAAAAATGGTTTCGCTTCAAATTTTGTTTCTTTTATGGTATTGAAGTTTATTATTATTCTAGTTATATTCTCTGTAGTGTAACGGTCCGTTTATACACAACAATAAATGTGAAACACTTACCGTTACTTTTTTACAGCTAATTATATTGTGATATCTGTCTTTATGAGCGAGCATTAGTGAACGGTGAGCTGATTGGACACAGATTATTTTTACTAAAAAATATTTAATTTTATCGATCAAAAAGTAAGTTTCTTATTATTTTATTAATTATCCAATGAAAAAAGCTAAAAATTACGACTGTCTATTTTGGTGGGCCGCGGGAAGCACTGCAGTGAAGAGAAACGAAAATGGATTCAATCTCTCATAAACAACGTTAAATCCTTCAAGGGAGTGGAAAGGATTGCAGGGTGTTAAGCCACAACGACTCACAATGCAATTATTTGTAAAAAAAAAAGACGAAAAAAGGGGCGCAATATGGATTCTTTCCGAGAATTTTACACCAATAGTTGTACGATGTGCCAAGACTCGACCTATAATGTCAGCTATGGAGATTCGGAATGAACTGAACCTTGCCTGCGGTGTTCATACAGTGAGAAGACTTCTACATGAACATAATTWATATGTCCGCAGTCCTCGATAAGTACCGTTATTAAAAAAAATCATATAGCAAGTTGTCTTAAATTTGCCAAAGGACCGATTGAGAAATGGCGCAACATCTTGTGGACAGACGTGTCGAAAGTTATTCTATACGGCGGTAAAGGGTCCCGTCAGTATCTAAGACGCTCCCCTAATAGAGAGTGCGACCCCAGATTCAGCACAAAAACTATGAAGCAGGCGGTTTGAATTTCATGGTTTGGGGTGTTTTTCTTACAGGCCCAATTTTTTTGTGTAGTCCCAATTCACAAGATTACTAGCATAACGGACCGACRCAAATTCGTGGATATAATGCAGTATATTATGATACCATTTGCTGAAGAGGACATCCCGCTGAAAAAGATATTTCAGCAGAATAATGACCCGAAGCACACCAGTAGGGTGGCAAAGGAGTGGTTTCGGGTCAATGGAATTGATGTCATGAACAGGTCAGCTCAATCGCTTGGCCTCTATCCTATTGAAAACCTTTGGGCAGACGTTAAGAAAGCCGTATGGAATGACAAACCCAAAAACAACAACGAGTTGTAGACCGTAGTGCAGTAAGCATGGCAGAACATACCACTAAAAAGATGCCAGAGTCTCGTAGATTCTATGAAGAGGCGTATAGACGGAACTTCCAAAAATCCTTCAGTTAAAAAAAAATTATTACTTTACTACTATTTTACTGCTCCCATCAAATTTCATATATAAACACAAYTTTGTGAATAAATATATCTTACACCCATTCAAATTAAAATATTTTTATTAATAAACGTAGCGAGGGAAATATGATAAASTTTTCCATTTCAATTGATGTTAAAATTGTTTAGAATTTTGCATAACTCACAGGTATGTAAAACTCTAACACCCACTACTATTTCACTGCTCGCAGCTGTACTTTCATTATATCGTAAAAACAGCCAATGGATTGTACTTCAAAAAACTCAAAAAAAAAAGTTCGTATGAACGCAAATCTTGCCTGCATGCAACAAATATGTTTGTGTTATGCAAGTGTTCAACTAATATAACATGTACATGTAAAATATGTGCCTCATTCAAATAGAAACTTTTTTTTTATAAATAATTAATAAATTATTATATTAAATTTTGTTAGTGCTAAATTGTATTCCTTTATTTACTTAAACTAACTCAAAACAGTTAATTTGACGAGTGCTGTACAACTAGGTATATATTTAACATCGGTAGTTCCAGTGTTAAATGATCCTTATCATTTGTTTTTGGAAAACTGATATACTTCGGATATGTTTTTTTTGTACATAGGATTCTTCATACTTGTCTTAATATCTAATTACATCAGCCAATAGAAGGAGAACGTTAAACGAAGTTCATTTCAAAACAAATTATTAATCCTTCATCATGCACATACATAGCACATAGCAGAAAAATATAAATATACCTATATTGTATCTACATACATATGTATACATATACATACGGAAGTTTGCGTGGAACAGTATTTGTATATACATAGTGCTTAATCTTTTTGGAAGAAATGCATTTTTCAATGTTAAAAATTTGATTTACAAACAAAGAATGCAATGACTACGAAACAACAAATTTTTGATCTTTCACTTAATGAATTATAACTAAAAGCATAACATGGCAACAAAGAGAGAAATTAATATATTGTTAGTTGGTACTCATTTTACCCTTATTAATGGAGTTTCTTAAATTATTATTTGAAAAATTTGATAACTTTTTGTTTAAACTCTTATATTTTAAGAAAAGGTGCGTTTCATGCAGTCCACATAACCTCAAACACGTTCCACAACAATTATATTATCCCTTAACATATTCAACCAATTAACTAAGTAGTATCTGTGTACATAAACAGCATATGGCAAAATTTTCTATTTTTAAATTTGCGCTGTGGTTTCAGAGAAACACGGTTAGGCCATCTAGTCTATATTACATCGCATTACTTCACTCTAATTGAAAAAAAATATATATAAATAGTTTCCGTGTTTGGAATGTCTAATTCAATCAATAATTATATTCTAAAAATGTATATGCACAATCAATCTTATAATAATTAGTTTTTTCCCAAAATTAAAAACAATCTACTAATTTTTTTTTTGCATTATATTAGTTATTAAAATCGTTTGATTCTATCCCTCATCATCATCTAATATATTAACTTTCGGTTTACATTCTGCTATCGCTTGTCATCCCTTTCATACTACTGCTTGCATCCCGCACTATTATATTCTAATTATTTTCAAGATGGCTGACGCACTAACGAAACAGTTGCGTAAACGAGCAAGCAGTAATTCCAACAAACMTACTATGCACAAATAAATACGACAGACAAGAACAGGTAGCGTGTATGATTTGTAGAAATTGATTTAAATGTTTTGTATGTTAACCTGATCGGAACTTACAACGGCTGCACACTAGTATTAATTTTTTCGTCCAAATTTCCTTCAACACATTTCCTAACAAATCACTTTCATCCAAACATACCTTATCACACAAGGTTCGCACTTGCGTTTCCGTTAATTGATTGCATTCGTTCAACTGCTCAATCCATTGATCCAGATCTTTTGTTGTTGCTTTATCCTCCATCGCAGTCGAAGAGGAGGAAAAAGTCTCGTCAATCTTCGTGGATTCAATTTTGACGGCTTTTGATTTACACGAACCAAACAAAAAATTAGATGGAATTTATAAAATATTTCTGGCGTGACGTAGGTCGTGGCTATTTAAATAAAATCAAATTTAAAGCTTTTGTTTTTCACTTTTAGAATACAAATTTCAACTAATATATTAGACACTAACTTCTCACTTGGACTCTTAACTCAACCACACGAATGAAAAATAACCGATGACTGACTGTCTAAACGAAATAAATGCACGACCGACACGCACTATCCAATGTAGCAGCACAATTCGAAAAGACCGAGCTACTTCTTCGCTCCCTCTTTTCACTCTTTCTCGCTTGCTTTCCACAATCTCGCAAAAATGTGGAATCGGTTTCCAACTCTCCAACGAATCCACTCGTGTTTTACGACAAATTAYGTGATGATTCAATTAACTTCTTGAGACCACAACTCCAAAAATGCATTTAGAAGATGTCAGATTTGATCGGTTGTATTTATTTGTTTTCTTTAGTTCTAAATAAACAGCATTTTTATGATCTCAATTTAATTTCTCACTTTTTAGAAACACTGTATAGAAATTAGCAGTTTTCTGTTCAAAGGCCTTCATTTGCCATAAATCAATTTTTGGACCTTGCTAAAGTTCGTTATAAATTTTTACAAGAGCAGACTTTAGTTTGTAAAATGTGAATTGTTAATTTTCGACTTCAAAATTTTCCGATTACAGTAAAATTTTTTCGAGGATGGATGAAGCAGAGAAKGTATTAAATTGGTGAACTGATGATTGAGAAGATCCCATCGATGCGAGCWAACAATTCGCAAGCATTGCCAGTTTGAGATATTTTATGCCTTTTTATTTGAGGTATTTTTCTGACTTTAATTAAAAACGATATTTATTTTCGTCCTTTACTAGAAAATATATGTGGTAAAATTATTAGATAATTTTTTGTAAATAGTTGTTTGTTTTTGAAAATAGATATAATGATAAACATTTTAAGCTTTGGCAATAAATGTATATCTCTACTCTCTTCAATTTTTGGTGTGGTACATTCAATCGGTTCACAGGTGACGTGGGACAGAGAACGTCTAATTGTGGGATTGATTAGAAGAAGCAGAAAAGAGAAATTTACGAACAGGTGAAATACATAATAATCGTGAAAGATTAACTAATAAATTTCTTCTTAAAAATTAGTAAAAAAAAATTATAATATATTTTAAGAAATTTAGTATTTTAATTCTAATCTATTCTAATAATTGGATTGTTTACACATATTCGTAGAAGACTTTTATTATAACTAATGCGTGAAGATACTTCACACCTGGAAACGAATTTTATACAGGAGGCTTTGTTGGTTTGTTTCATACCCAATTGAAAAACGGAAATTGTCTGTATAACAATGCCAGAGTATTTACATGAGAACAGAATATATTCACTGATTTTTAAACAATATCATTTGTTCTAAAGGCCAACAAAGCTCACATCAGCTGTAACACCTATAAATACCAAAAATTGGGTTCATTATAAATCGTTTCGAATGGAAAGGTACATAAGCAAAGCAACAGGCATTTTAAAAATATATATAGTAAACTTAAGAAAATTGTCCAAATTTGTTAACAAATTATTATTTTTTCTACATTAGTTAAGGGCCATTACCTGGAAATTTTGTTTAACGAAATCGATCAACAAAAGGCGAGCAAAATGTAAGTATTACAATAGTTTTATATCAGTTTAGTACAACAGCTTATACAATTTTAATTTCAGAAAGAATGGCTTTGGCGGCTGATCTCAAGGAAAAAGAAAATGGCACTGAAAATAAATACATTAAACATGTGAATATATCTGATGAATTGGAATATCAGCATAAATTAATTAACGATGCTTCTAATGTAACCAATCAACATTCAGGAAATGGATTTTCACTTACAGAAAACAAATGCAAAACAAAAACTCAACAACTTAATGGAACAACTTCATATACACATACCACTTCAAGCAAAGGCACATCCACTGGCACATTCATGAAATTGAAAACATACTTACATGCACTGCGTCCATGGTCATTATCTGGCAGTTTGGTACCAACATTGATGGGTTCTGCGCTGGCTTACCGTTCTCAATGGGCCGCTGATTTTAGTCTTATAACATTTTTTTTAACTGCCTTCACGGTAGTTACAGTGCATTGCGCCGGCAATGTGGTGAATACTTACTTCGATTTCGTTAAGGGTATTGATAAACAGAAAGCCGACGACCGAACCCTCGTTGATCACATTCTCACAAAAGATGAGGTAAGAAACAGTTTTGCACTACTCTAGCTTCCTTTTTCCAAAAAAGCTACCGAAGGAAAACATTCTTCAGCCAAAAAAAAAAAAAAAGTGACAAAGTAGCAAATTTATAACCGCACCTAAAAGTTATTTAAAAAGAATGTCATTAATTCGGAATCTCTTATTTATCCTCATTTTAAAATCTATTACGGCTTCTTTAGAACATCCCAAAATTCATCCTTTTGCATACTGCTGCAGCGTTCTGTTATCTGCATTCACAAAAAAATTTAAAATCCGGTAGTATTCTCTAATTTTTAACATATCTACTTTTATTTAGGTAGTTTCCTTGGGAGCAATTTTATACATGGCCGGTTGCGGTGGATTCATTTGTTTATCCTTTCTTAGTCCCGCGAAAATGGAGCACCTAGCATTAATTTATTTTGGCGGCTTATCATCTAGCTTTCTTTACACTGGTGGAATCGGTTTCAAATACATCGCTCTTGGAGATGTTGTTATATTAATACTTTTCGGACCACTTTCAGTATTGTTCGCATATATGTCACAAACAGGTCATGTGGATTGGACAGCAATTTATTACGCTCTTCCTTTGGCACTCAATGCGGAGGCAATATTACACAGCAATAACACGCGAGATGTTGAAAATGACCGTAAAGCTGGAATCGTAACGTTAGCAATACTTATAGGACGAACAGCATCACATGTCCTATATGCTTTGCTTCTCTTCACACCCTACAGTGTATTTGTTGTATATGGCCTGAAATACTCGCTTTGGTTTTTATTGCCACTCGTGACAGTACCACAGGCATTTCAGATCGAGAAACGTTTTCGTAACGAACATACCATGAGTGCTGTTCCGCGACAAACAGCTAAATTAAATTTCTTTTTCGGTATACTCTATGTGGTAGCAATATGTTGTGCTAGACAATTACCCGACTTCAGTTATCGCAAACATTAGTGTGTTCAAATTTTTTATATGTAGTAGCGAAAAATTGTATTAATTTACAAGTCAAATTAAAGTTTATTAAATAAAAATAAATTTATTGACTACATTTAGAAGCAGAATATGCAAGACTTCCAAAAAATAATTTATATGAAATCATAGAGGAGCTAAAACAAATACTACAATGAAAACTGACTGTACAATAAATTTTTGTAATAATTAGAAGCAAATATTATTAACTTTATACAAAAATGAGAACATGAAAGTACACCTTTCACAAATAGAATCTGAAGTTTTATTTAATATAATGAGCTGAACGAAGTTTTATAAAACGATTAAATTATTACGGTAGTTTATGATGGAAATAGGGAATTTTTCGTAAGCGTTATAAACAAATATAATATGTATAACATGTGCACGAAAGAAAATGACTTCAGAATTTGGAAATTGTGCCTGTTTCCAATTGAGCACAATAAAAAATCGGCAATAAACGTCGCGTATCCCTTACATATTTTTATGTTTAAGCGTAAAAACATATTTTTACCAAAACAGTTGACAGTTGTTAATGCCAATTTTARCAGTTTTTTCATTTATTATGAACAATGAAATGTACTCTCAGTTAATTTTAGCGAATTTAAGAACATACTCATCGATTTGCATGCTATGCGATTCTCGAACTCTTCAATTTATGTTTGCAATGTTTTTTTTTAATGATTTGGTAATCTCATAATTCTAATTTTAATTTCATGTAATATATTTAATTAATAAAAGTGCTTTAAAGAGGAGTACGAATGAAAATTTGGTTTTTATTTCATATTAGTATGTAGATACGACTGCGCGTTGCTGATGATACATGTATGTACGTTCAATACTATTATAATAAACTATTTAATACAGTGATAACATTATTTACGAATAAAAGCGAAACCGTTATTGCCGGTTTAAGAATCCAAAGTATTGTACTTGTTTAATTTATTAAGTAATGAGTTTACATTTTTCWTTTTATTCAAAATACGTACATACGRATATATGTATGGTCATGGTGGAATTTAGTGCTCTGGGAACGCCATATCGTATGATTTGGAGTTTCTTCAAGATTAAATCTGCATTATTTTTAGTTCAAATAAGTTTTAAATTAAACTTTTGTTTTTAAAAAATATAAATATAGTGAATTTTAAAGAAAAGGCATGCCACAACTATTATCTCCTTTTCAATGAGTTGAATTCGTCTCAAAACTGATAATGAACATACGTACTCAAAATAAGTTTACTTAGTTTAAATATATTTCAGATATTCATACTTGTAATATGATATTATACATATATACATGTAAAGGGTGTTAACATAGGTTTAGTCATGGTGTCTAGGGACAATGGAAGCTCTAAAGGGTTTCACTGCAGCTGTTGCCCCATCTAAGGGCTCATCATCAGGCATTGCTCCCTGTAGTGGCAGAAAGCGAAAGTGTTGAAGGACGGTCGTTATGAACACAAACAGATTCTGCCTACCCAGTATGTCACCCATGCAACGGTGTCGTCCGAATCCAAAAGGATTGTAAGCCTCCGGGATTTTTAATTTGCCATCCATTAAATAACGCTCTGGGTCAAATTTACTTGGGTTAGGGAAATCATGCGAATTCATCAGCATACCTCGAAAACAAGCGATTACCATAGTATCTTTCGGAATAGTAAAGCCGCTCAGCCGTGTGTCACGCAGTGCTCGATGAGGGATACCAAAGGTATTACCCATAAACATACGTACAGCCTCCAAAACGATAGATTCACAATATGGTAATTTCACTCGATCACCCCATTCCGGTAAACGGTCGACGCCAATCATTTCCTTTATCTCTGCAAAAGCCTTTTCTTGTATTTCTGGATTGCGGACCATATGTAAAAAGGCGAACCCCAAACTTTTGTTGGTGGTTTCTGAACCGGCTAAGAACATGTCGAGGCACACAGCTAGTAGTTGCTCTTCACTGAAAAATTCGCCGCGTTTGGGATTGTCGAATTCACGCAAATAACTGTCCATCAAATCGCGGGGCATGTCATAGTTTCCGTATGTTTGGCGGTGATTTTCAACTTCTCTACGTAAAAATGTATAAATCCGTTGATGGCTTTCTACGAATGCATTGTAGCCCGAATAATTTGGTGCGATAAACCTAATAAAGGGGAAATGACTGAACAGCGCCCCTACCATGTCCACGTTTTGAAATAGTTCAAAAAACATGGTCAACAGATCGGTTATTTCTTCACTTTTGCGGTCGTAGCGCTTACTAGCCATCATGGACCACAGTGTATTTAATACATTTACTTTGAACAAATCATGCATGGAGACTTCGGCTTGTTTACCACCCTGTTCGTTAACGATTTCCCTCAATTCTTCCAACAAAAACGAGGCTTCGTGTTGAATAATATTCACCATTCCAGCACGCGAAAAACCGAAGTCTTTAAGATGTCGCAATATGAAACGACGTTGATCCACCCATAAGTCCTCGTCCGTCACCAATATGCCCTTCTTCGAATTAAACGTTCTCATTCTATAGAATATACCATCGGGTTTGCCATCTAAATCCTCGTTAGTCATCATCTCGTTTATGGTGTCGCTATAATATGCGATCACAACTTTGTCCCTGCCGATCTTTAGACCATATAATCCATACGGATTTATATAGTACTTGGCTAGTTCGTCAACAACTTTGCAAAACATTCCACATTTTAATCTCAATTCGGAGATCTGCAGGGCGCAGCCGACAATTGGATACCATTTTGGTCCAGGTGGAAATTTCGGTGGTTTCTTAACATCCCATAGAAGAAAGAGTAAAACAAGTATGCTAAAAAATATAACGGCATAAAACATTAAACGTTTTCAAGAGCGCGCAAACTYTGATGCTTATTTATTTTTATTTCCGCTTTGGCTTTGCACTTCCGGGCAAAGAAATCACAAACAGCTTTCACTTTTTTACAAACGTACGTTTGTGGGTTTCACTTCGCGGCGTCGCTACAAACCAACACTCACACGAAACTGTCGCAATGACTTTCTGTTGCAGTTGTAATTCGTTTTTACCCCGTATCGCTGGCGCTAACTATTCCGCATCTAACCTAGTCTGTGAGTTTCAAACAACTGAAGTTGTCCCGACTGTTGCGTCATAATTTATAGTAGGTCAGGCGAACGAAATCTACGTAATGCAAGTGTGATCACATGTCCGTACAAGCATATGTATATGTGTGTGTGTACTATATGTAAGAAATGTTGCTTAAAATTTCGTGGGCTTAAAATTTAAATTTAAAAATTTCTTATACTCTTACAACATGTAGCAGGCGAATATCATACATTTGTTCCCCTAAYGGCTTAAAATAAATGAATTATATATACATATGTATATATTTTTTTCAATTTCCCTTTCTTATTTACTACGACTAATACTATTCAGTCGATCCATATGAAATAAGATCCGTTTTATAAAAAAAGATAATTGATTTACTTTTGCTTTTAGAAAATATTTAATCACCCCATTCGCTCGCCACAACATTTACGAACCCTTCCAAGTGCAGAAGCATGCAGCATATATTCATGAGCATCTCAAATTATAGCGGTTTTACCAACCTTTTACACAGCTATTCGAAATTAATACATCAAAAAATCTACAAAAAGGTACCAATAAATATATAGTATAATCTAATAAGGAAATGAACATACATACATACATATGTACATATAAGTCTATGCGAATAGTACGTTTGAGGTTCAGCGCAAATCATGTTTATGTAATYCACAATTCGTAGTTGTTTTCCAATACATGCATATGTACACCGGAGTGAATGTATTTAAATATGTACATATGTATCTTCACTTATACACAATCCGTGAATACGTAACTAAGTATGCGTTTCTTTTTATATTTTGTTAATTTTTGTATGAAACTGGTTCCGTTTTTTCAGGACTAGCGTAATTTTGACTAAAACAGGATAGTTGTCCGTCGCCCGCATTTTATCACCATCTGGCTTGCATGAACAACTGGTATTAATGGAAAACAGTGTGCGCACCTAACGATTTTGAACGAATTTTCACCAAATCTCTTTTTTCTTTTAGTTTGAAATCTTCCAAGATAGAGGACAGGATTATTCGAGAAAGATCGTGTTTTCATTTTAAAATCGCACGCTTTTAAAGCAGGTGGTCAAATATTGTTTAAGCTTTGAAAACGGCAATTATTTCATTGAACTRCGTCTAGTCTACACATATTTTCAAAATGTTGAAGTAAGTGGCTTYTGTGTTTAAGGAGCAATGTGTGGCCAAGAAAGTGTGCCCTTGGGATGCTGATGGCCTTTGCGATAAATATTTATTGTTATTTGGTGTTTTAATATGTTTAAAATATATAAACGAGGTTGCATTGTGAATCCATCAAATCCTTTTATTTGAATGTATGTATGTATGTACATATCGTGTTGAAAAAGTGTAAAAATTGAAATACATATGTACGTCCCGTGTAAATTACAATTTTGTTGCAAATTCCCGAGAACACATTATACAAAGGATTAAAGCTATTTTATAGTAGGATATTAAAGATCTATTTGATATGGATGAAATAATTCAGATTTCTATGTGGCGACGGCGTAAAAAAATAAGTTTAAATCAAAACAAATGGCATTTTAATAAACAATTTAAAAACAAATTTTAAGGATTAACAAAGCTTATTTTGGGTTACATTTAAATTTTAAGTGGACAGTCATCAAACATTTTTACTTCAAAACATATAAGGAAGAGCTAAGTTCGAGTGTAACAGTAACATTTGTAATTTTCAAATTTTTCAAAGTCTGACAAATATTTTTGGGTGTAGACAAAATTTTAATATTGATAACTCGACATGACCGTGATTACAAACGTTTTATCATCTAGTTTACTTTGACTGTACTATGTCTCAAGACTCACTTAATTTCACTACTGTGCCTGAGATATTTATTAGAGATCTTGGTATTCGACTAATCGTCTAACCGGGTCAACCGGTTAGGGAATTAGTTTGCAGAATTCAGATAGTCGTAAGTCGTCGACTATTAGACAAACCGATCGTTTTGGACTATCCAGTTAAAGGTTCCTTATCGACTATTCAAATAGTAAGTGTAAAACTTTTATTTATACTTTACATTATATGCATGATTCAATTATAAAAGGTTGTGTCGACGAAGCTGCTAGGATTTCAAATAATTTYCATTTATTCAGATACATACTTACAGTCGCACTGTTACGACTATTCGAATAGTATTAATCAGTTGATATTTATACAAGCGGTTACAAACCGGATATTCGAATAAGCGGGTTTCAGATATATGTGAAAGAAATTCAACCAACCAACCCTGTCAACCCGGCACCATGCTTCGAATTGCTCCCGGTTTCGACCCTTTTTATATGAAATGTGAAATTTTAATACTACATACAATGTATACATATAAAAAATTGAACTCACAATTACATAAATTAACACAATTTTGCTATTTTTTAGACTTATTTTACTTATGGCCATGGGTTTAGGTGCTATGTATATGGTACACTTGCTTGCTCAGGACTACAACAAAATTCGGCAACCGGTCGCTGCTGCCGCTCGAGCTATTGTAAGTGCTAGCAATCTGAGAACTCGAGTGAAGCGAGATATTTATGAAAATGTGACAAACACAACTACTCTCAATATTGACTGGAAAATAATTTTGTCACGAGACCCATTTGAATGCCTGCAATCGCTAATATGCCAACTAATGTCAGGCGCAGACACTCATTCTCTTGAGGCCAAGTTGTTAATGGAATTTCTCGAAAAAACGGTAGTCTCGTCCCCAGTGGAAGTCCGCTTTGCCTTTAGTAGAGGATTAACCCTGAATGGTTCAACCGAAACTTGTTACAATGTGTATCCATTCTGCATATATTCTGCAAAAACTATGTTAAGAGTTTTAAGATGGTTTGCGGAGTCGCCTTAATTTAAGTTACAAAGAAAGAAAAATCAATACCAAAAGTATATTTCTAAACGATATCATTAATATTTTGTAGTTGAAGTAAATATATACATACAATAATATACTTTGAAAATCAAATTAAAAAAAATATATACATTACATTTAACTCTTATTTATCTCGATTTTTCTTAGTTTATTCCAGATTTTCCGGTAATGGTGTATATGCATATCAAAATAATTTTTGTTGTTTTTTATTACATCTTAATTGTGCTTAAATTGAAGATAGCTTACGTTCTATATGTATGTACAGTTTTACTTCATATTTACCGGAAAAATTTTAAAGCTCAGCCATACAGCCTCTTTTCCAGCGGGATTACAATTTGTTTTAAAGCACTGCAAATATGTTAGTAAAAAAATATTATGTTATATGTAGGTAAAATATGTCTTGACCAAACTTAAACCACAACGCTTGTTGAGGTATTTTTGTAGGATTAATGTAGAATAGTTTAAATGACTTATTATGTCGATTTAAAATTTTTGGAAAAATAAATCTTGAAGAAACTAGAGGTTATACAATTCCCATGAAATACAAAGTAATTATCCAAAGTAAAAATCTTTCAATCTTGAGTTTTGCCAACTATTTTTTCCAATATATTTATAAGAAAAAATATTATAATAATAACAAAAATTTTAATAGCTACAATTGATCAATCAGTTTTGAGACAACAGTTTTGCTATGAAATCGGTAATTGCTGATTTTATAACCGGTTGATTGTTGTGTGCGATTACAACAAAAATCGTACTAACTATATTTATTACATGGTTTTTATGGCTATAGTGTATGAGATACCAATTATGCACTTTGTAGTTCAGAAAATTGCAAATTTTTACTGATATAAATTAAAATTAATACAATAAAAACATGAGTATATTATTGGCTTGGTATAAATATGAAAAACAGCCTAATTTATAACTTTAAATTACATATAAAATGTCATTTTGCTCTTTACATTCCACAAATATTTCAGATTAACTTTAATTTGTTAAATCTTATACGTATGTTCAACATAACATATACTTATACATGTTGTTCCAAGTGAATTTTTAATGTTATATTACTTAAAATTTTTATGATCTTCTGAATTATTGAAACATAAGCTCATGTAATTCATATATACACTTACGAATATAGTGTCTCTGCAAATTTTTATTAACTGACAACATACTCTCCCTCTCTTTACAAATTTTGACTAGTCAATCATTAATCGAGATTTAATAAGCACTTAAAGTGCAAGTAAGAACTCCGAATATTTCTCTTAAGTAAGTGAACTTAAAGTGCACAAAATAAATACAATGTTCTAGTATTTGTCTTCGTTCTTCTTGTTATAAGCTGGAGTGGAATTTATTGGATCGTGTCCTAGAGTCACACTTGTCACATCCTTAATTATCATTTCTGCAACTTGCCATGCAATTTCTTCTTGAACCTTTTCTTCTGGCAAATGAACCAATTTTCTCATCGCGTTTTTAATCCTGTTGCCACTCAGTCTTAGTGGCCAATTTGGTTTACTACCACTCGCCGCCTCACCTCCAACATCATCAACTGCCTCGAAATCACGTTCATAACGACCTAACTCGTTAATGTGACCAAATTTAAGAGCTACTCCATCTACTGATTGCGATCGAYGCCATAATAAGTTTGGATTTATTAAATGACGTGCATCAATATGCAAAGCAGAACCAGTCGCTTGTTGAAGATCTTTTATTCTTGTTTGTGGCAATTTGTTACCGTCCATCGCCAATAAAGTGTTGTGTCTGAAAACTTCACGTCTACCTCCATCACTACAATCTGAAAGTGTTTTTCGATGTAGTGCTTTACTAAAACGACCACCAGATGCAGCAGAAGACGTCACTTTGTCGTCATCCGTTGTTCTTGCTGAACCATTCATTTCACGTATTTTGAACTTAAGCTCATTTAAATAGCTCTGAAATAGTTGCGATTTGAGGAAGTCTTGAAAATATTTACGCTCCAAATATACCGCCACCAACTGTAAAGCTAAATCAAAACAATACGCCACTCGATCAGTAGCGCAAATACGTTCTTCAACTTGACTTCGGAGCCGATCTGATAACCAAAAACGATCCTCGGATTGCAGCGAGAAAAATTTTTCATAGATTATCATTGCGTCGGCCTGAGCTTCTGACTGACCAGTGCTTGGAATGTTTGACTTATCTTTTTTCTCAACATTTGCATTTTCGGTATGTCTGTCGGCAACTATGTAACTTTTGCGATAATTTATGGCTGATGTCCAGAAGTCAAGGCATTTACGTTCATTGTGTTGTTCAAGAAATTCCATGAAGAAGAACAATGTAGCTTCACTATAAAGAATATCATATATGGACAACGCCGGGTTACCATTTTCTATCAATTCAACACTGTATTTGGCGTAAAAAGAGCTCTGCACAAATTCATTTAAATACATTCTTTCTAAATGATCCAAAACATAACGTTGTGCTTCAACGAAGCAAGTTGCCGAAATAGTAGGCGTGGATTCAATTTTTGATTGATTTGGTGAAGAAGCTTCTTTTTTAATTTCAGCTCGTTGACATAGAGTTAAAGATATGTCAGACAAAATATCGACAGGTAATGAGATAAACTGATTTGCGTCCGCAATTAAATATTTTTGATATATTGCAATTGCATCATTGACACTAGCGGGGTTTATATATTTTTGAGTACCAATTGGAGCACTGGATACATCAGAGCACAGCTTTTTTTCACTACCTTCACATAAGCAATCAGAATTTTTCTCCTCAAAATCTTGTGTACGATTACTATTTTTATGAATTGTAAGCGTGTTTTCTGCACATTGATATATTTGCTTATTAGTTTCGGCATAGATTTGACTTTTTTCATCATCTGTGAGCGGCTGGCGCATAGATAAATGGAAAAAGCTTTTCAATTCAGGTACTTTATCATCATCTTGAGTACATGTGGCGTTTATTTCTTCCTTATTTCCTAAATCTATTCGAGACGGTGTTTTAAAGTCCTTGTATTTCAGCAACACTTTCTTTCTTCCTAATGTTCCTCGCTCATCACTTTGTTGTTCTGCATTTAAGTGACCAAGTACAGCAGTTTTAAAATTTTCAGTATCGAGGTAAAATTTTAAGAAAGGGAGTGCATTCATAGTGTCCAAAAATTGTACAAAGTAGGTTAGACAATTTGGATCACTTACTATTGACGAAATTGACATCGCCAGACGAGATTTATATTGAAAAATATCTGCGAGGGCAAATACACATATAGCAATATAATTTTTATATCTGTCATAATTTATATGTATGTAATATATTTACCATCATTTGAAATCATACTGCTTCCCCAAGAAATTTCAATTCCGTCATTTGCATCGACTTCTGCACCTATTTGCGATAGTATTTCGTCGCAAAAACTGGAAGATGAATGTAATGAGTGCCGTTTATTTCTGGAATCACTGTGGCCTAATCCACTTTCTGTTAGATCGCCACATGATTTTCCAAAAGGGATATCTGTCCCCATTGCTTGGCGGCGCAATCCTATAAAATTGGTAATACTTAATGAAAAACTATTACTAAGTGTGCATTTTTATGCTACCTTTTCGCTTCTTAAAATATTTCAGCATTTTAAAATGCTCCATCTATATCCATTCATCATTCAATTAATCAGAATTTTTAACTCGTTTTTTGTCTGCGAATCTTGTAATCATCTGTAATTTCCACTACCTTTTTCTTTTGTATAAATTTCTCCAAGTTTGTTTTCATCACCTCAAACGTCAACCAATTTCATTCATTCAAGTGTATTCAACAAAAATAATGATAAAGAGATTTATACAGATGTTCGGAGAGAAACCGTTCATAATATGTGGTCTAGATAGTGAAATTTATTTATTACAAAACAACAAAAAAAAAAATAATAAAACAAAAAAAATAAAAAATAAACAATTTTGGACGTTAAAAAAGAGAATATTTTTGAACAGGACGTTTGTAGGTGGAATAGATTTACGATTTTAATGAAAAATTTTCTGGCTTATTGTTGTTCTCTAAGAATGCTAAGCAAATCGTGCTAGTACCAAGTAGATCGACCATTCTTAACTCTAATAAATAGAAAGAAATAACACAAACTAGATAATAATTATTCCTACAAGTAAAAAAAGGGACGAGCGAGGTTCTAACCTGTAAACTTACCAAGATTCATCAATGTGAGGTTGTCATTTTCACAAAAAAAAAAAATAATTCCCAAGTTAAATTTTAATTATTTGTTCTCTAAGTAACTACGACAACGTTACCCAGGATTTAACTCAACTAATAATTTTTTGCTTATTTTGTTATTCTAAAAACAAAATGAAATCAGAATAATCACACTCATATAAAAGTAGTTACGTAACTCGAGACTGCATTGGCTTTAATAAAGTAATGAAGTTCTATTTTTTATTTATTAAGTATGTATATATATTTATTTAAACTATTTATCAATTATGTAAATTTATTTCAACGTACTCATTATCTTGCATTCAAATTTTAAAGATAAATAAGTATTTATGTTACTCATTTCAACTTATTTTAAATATGTTTTACATATGTATGTATGGATGTAGTTCGAAAAATGCAACTAGTAATATAACGGTGTTGCACTGTGTTCGCTTTACAGTCGTTATATGTATTAATCTTATGTATGTATATATGAATGCATGTATGTAGGTTAGTAAGTTGCATGAGGATTGCTAAAAACATTATTTATATATATGTTTCTACTTGCGTACATATATATATTTTTATTCATGATATACAAATGTACATTCATATGTACTTATGTATTTATATGTACAATATAATCGGACACTAATGAATCTCTGCATCTCAGAATTAAATAATGCGGGCATATGTTTATGTACAACCAGAAGTATTATGTATTCATATTCGCTACTTGAAACAGTCGAAGCGATTTTCTTTTTATTGTGTTTGCTACTGCGATTGACTATATAGCTTAA